CGACCAAGTGTAATCGCAGATCGGGAATGTAGTAACAGGCAAGTTATATTATCAACCCGGGGTCTAGATCTACTGCTTACTCAGTGATTCTCTATTATCTAGCCAACTAAAGTAAGTGATTGTTGTTTAAAAGCAAAAGCAGAAAGAAAGCAGGAATTGATACGGTTTTCTCAAGCACGTAAGAGTCACTCGGGAATGAGTCCCCCTAGCTCCTTAGTTAGGTTCAATTGCAATTTCCCTGGGTTGATTTACTGTTGATTAGACTGCAGAAGATCCGACAGTAGCTTGGAATCTCTTAAGCTGACCAAGCCCTCTCAGTCTATCTACCCGGCAGACGACTAGTCTTCACCGGGATAGAAAGCTGAAGCAGTAAGAACAGAACTCCACTACTGGAATTGGATTCCAGTACAAAGCAGTAAACTGGCTAACTCTCGTATAGCCAATCTCCTACTATCGAATGATGAGACTCTAGCAACCTAATCAGATTCTATCTATCTCAGATTGCAGCAGGAATCAGGAAAAATTGATCAGACTTCAATTGACTCAATAAACATGCATCATTCGATTAAAATCAAACAGTAATATCAGCCCAAGTCATTACAATCAATCCCTAACACATAGAACTAGGGTTCTTCATCCCCAAGTGAGAGAGGGGTTCTACTCCATAGAGAGAGAGAAGAAAACAAGATACAAAGCAATCATACTCATAATTATGGGAAGAATCTGCTCTGGGATGATGATTTCCACTCCTATGACGATCTCCAAGCTTGATTTGATGAAACCCAGCTCCAAGATGGCTTCTAGGATGTGTTCTTCGTCCTTTCTCTCTCTAGGGCTCTGTTTTTGCTCAAAAAGTCCGATCCTCTCTCTTGCAGCCCGGAATTGGGTTAAAACCAGGAATTCCCGACTCACACGGGCAAGGCCACACGGCCGTGTGGCATACCCAGTTGCCCGTGTGAGTCAAAACGCTGCGTTCCAATTAGTTCGATCTTCAGGCTTCTCACACGGCCAGGATCGCACGGCCGTGTGAGATTTCCATCTGCCCGTGTTTGCTCTCGGCGAAACTTGCACGGCCAAACCACTCCTTCACACGGCCGTGTAAACATCAGGGCAAGCCGTGTTTGCTCTCGCACAATCTCACACGGCCAAAGTGGTCACTTGCACGGCCGTGTGAGTTGTGGGTGTGCCCGTGTGGCCTCCTTTGTGACTTGCCACGCGCCCGATTTCGTCCAATCGACCCCAAACTCGCTCCCAAGCCTCCATTCACGTACTAGGATATGAAATATCACAAACAAGCACAACCTAGCATGAAAGCGGCCTAAAACACGAGAAATCACATCTCAAACGGTGTAAGAACAGGGGTAAAAACATGTGTAATTAACGGTCTATCATATGTCATGTTAAATACGTTCGGTTACTAGGTTTTCACTATCGTTATTGACCTAGAAAATTACAAATCATTGCGAAGGTGGCCAATAACACAGCATTATATAATTTCACACGATAGAAAATGGAGGAAAAACAAGTCATTAAACATCGAGGCTAGATAATGAAATCCCAAAGTATCACCCAGAAATTGGGGGATTAGTTCATAATGGAAAGAAAGAACATAAACATGCTAATGTTCAACATCATAACTAATTACATAAACAAAGGAGTAGAGAAAGTACTAATCGTTCAAGTTAATTCTCAACTTACAAGAGTCTTCCTTTCTTCAAAATGCTCAACTCCAAAGTGTGCCAAAGTGAGCTCTCTCCTTTGATTTTTCTCTCCAAAAGCTATCTCCAAAAGTGTCTACTTAGCTCTCCTAGTTGCTGCCCTTTGTGCCCCTTTAAAGTTCATTTTCTACAGATTTTTATTCCACAAAACAAGGCACTTTCAGCTCTCATTTCCAAGAAAAGGCTGCTGCTAGCTAAAGTCTCTTTCCTTGCAATAAATTCTTGCATCACTTTATCTATTGTTGAGCTACCAAATCCATTTGCTCACTTCAAAAAATCTGACCCAATCCCAATAATTTCTGAGGGCTGCTGAGAGTTGACTGAATATTCCAACCAACAATAATTCGATTTGGGTCTTCATTAGTTTGACCTCCTGTTGGATGTTTGCCTCTGCACTTTGCCACTGCACCTGCATTCTGCTCTGCACTTTGTTTTGTTCACAATCTTAGCTTCAATATGTGTTAAATTACTAAATGACTTGGTAATGACACTTGGGTCGTCCGCTGTCAATATGAACTAATTTAAAGCAATTTAAACATATACATACATAAAGATCAATCATTTATGCACAAAATACATGTATGTTTATGAAGTTTATCACAACCCCACACTTACCATTTGTGTGTCCCTAAGCAAAAGAGAGAAATAATTGAAAGAGAAGCAAATAAACATACAACTAAGACTCATAGTAGTCAAATAAAAGACACACTACTCCTAAGACTTGACTAATAACATTGCTGTTTGAGTGACAGTGTGACTAGTTGTGGACCTACTATGCTTTGGTGTAGACATCTATGTATATACCCTATCATCAAATTCCACATTTCCATGCATACCTGGGATTGCATGTTAGATTACACTCCATCACATGATATACCCTACATATAGAAGAAACACACTAATAGTGGGTTGTGCCAAAACTCATTTGAATAAAGAGTAAGGTAAGTCAAGAGTAAAAGTATGGCACCTAGATTTCCTCACTAGGAATGTGTATTTCGCTCAATCACACAAGTGTTTAAGCGTTGGTGTTTACACTCAAGTTTTCCCTTACTAGTGATTACCTAAACCTTGTTCTTCAACCATAGTTGGACCGATCAGTATAAACACAAGCATATCAAGATCACAATTTTCGGGTAATATGTATTAGGCTAGGGGTTAAGGCGAGGTTTTAGAGGAGGGAAACGATGATTCTCACGAGGAATGAGCTACAAAGGTGGACCCAAATCAAGAACTATCTATAATCGAGGCCTTTAACAAATGGGAACAAATGCATACCAGGTCATAAGCAAAACTAGAACTATACAACAAGGGAAGACCATTGATTCCAATGATGATTCATAGATCCTTATTCATCCCCCTTTTCTCTTTCTCTTTCTTTTTTTTTCTTTTGATTATTATTATTTTTCTTGTTGCTGATTTTTTGATTATTTTTTTTTGGAATGAGACTGAAAGACACTACATTGATGATCAATACCTTTTTTCTAATTAGTAGAGGACAAAATGGTGCAATAGAAGATGCAGTGGCAGAATGCCTATGCAGTGCCAAACTGCATGCTGTAGTGGCCAAATGCATCTCTCAACTATAGCTTCAACTACTACCTTAGAACATCAACTTTATTTACAATCTTAGCTTCAATCTGTGTTAAATTGCTAAATGTCTTGTTAATGACACTAGGACCATTTCGTGGTCAATATGAACTAATTTAAAGCAATTTAAACACATACATACATAAAGATGGGGGTTGAAGTCTCATCACCTTGCCTCCATGGTAAAGTCTCGATCACGCTGCCGCTACAATTGAGACCTCCTTGGAGCCTTCATAGCTCTCACATTGCATCTTAGTACTAGGTTCATCTTGTTGGCTGGGTACCATGATTGCCTTACCACCAAACCCTTTTGCAGACTTGGTACGTCTTGCCACCAAGATCATTTTGTTGGCTTGGTGTCATAACGTCTTGCCACTAAGTTTGTCTTGTCAATTAGGTATCGTGTCCGCAAAATCACCGACTTGGTATCATACTCGTCTTGCCACCAAACCATTATTGTCGGCTTGACATCAAGCTAATATTCCGTGCTCTCTTTTCCAGCTTGGTCACCAATGAGTCTCTATTTAATTTCGCTAGACTTTCACATAACCCATTTTTTGGAGCTTAATTAAAGTCTTTTTTTTACAATGCTTAATTAAAGCCGCTAGACTTTCGCATAACCACTCTACTAGCTCACCTTGCCAGCTGACTCCAACCAGCCTTTTAGGCACCTAGGGATGACAAAAATATCTGTAACCATGGATATTCATCCGAATCTGACCTAATAGGGTAGGGTAAAACTCGAAATCGAGGATTTTTAGTGGATACGGGTAAAACCCAAACCCGAACATTGCAGGCAATGGGTGGTCATGATTTTTTGACTATCCAACCTGAACCGACCCAGTTATACACATGCATATGTATTTTGTCTAGAAATAATCATTATTTTTTTACAACATATTTTATATCTACCATACACATAATATTTTCATGAATTGTGTTGTTTTGATTAATTTTTTTATTCTAGTAATTTATTGTCGTACTTTTTCTCTTATGTAATGCGAGTATACGTCTGAATGTTAACATATTGGTTGGAGTTATAAAGAGAAATTATTTACACATGAATTGTCGTGGATGCCAGAAACCTGAACGGGTATGAGCGTGATTTTGATTTTCTACCCGATTCTTATATGAGTATGAGTATAATTAAAATTCGAACTATTTTGATAGGATATCAAATATACACTATGCAACCCCGACCCATTGTCGTCCCTACTTAGTGCGACCCTAGCCGTGCTAGCCACCAACCAAAAATTCGACCATTCAACACTCAGCTTAACTCGTTTAAATTTTAATACTGAGTTGGTACTATAAAGTCTTTAATATCTTATAATAATCAATGGGATACAAGTTAATTTAGGATAAAATAATAACTATTTAACTAAGATATGGTAGTAATTAACCTCGTTGCTTAATCATGTAATAGATTAGACTTTTGTAATTGCAAGAGTTGGTTGACTCACACCATTGATCAAACAACCACCTCTCAAATTCCTGTTCTAGAAATTCTACAGTACCGACTTGTTCAAACGAAAATACTGCATACTCGATTCAAACCCATATATGGTTTTAGAGTTAACAATCCATTAAACCACGGTTTAACCACAATTTCAATACAAAATATCATTTTGACTAACTTTTCTGGTATAACCTCCAATACAGATTTACAATCCGCACTTTTTACTCTCGTAAAAACCTACCCGAGTCATTTTACTCACGAAATATGCAATAAGCAACCTCATTTAGCTCGATCTTATGACGGAACACCTATTTGATACGACGCCATAATCCCCATCATATGCATTATTTCTCTAGTAAGAATTACAAAATCAGATACTTGACATTCAAAAGCAGAGGTCTTTGTTTGTCAAATCATCCACACATCGTATAGTCACTGTAGACATCAAGATAGCAGCACGTCGTCCTCTCAGTTGTCTTTATAAAAAAAGCCCCTTAACTCAAAGCCATATGTCACGGATATGGAGTCCTACCCTGATGACGATGATGACTCAGTGGCGTCGGGATCGTACTCCAGGGGCTCCCCTGCATCTTCTTCCCCCACATCCTGCTGCTCGGCATACTCGGCGTTCTCCCACTCGACATCCTCCTCTTCCTGCTCCTCCGCATCTTCATCCGCGTCCTCCAGGGGCTCCCCTGCATCTTCTTCCCCAGCCTCCTCCACATCATCGTGCCCCACATCCTCCGCATCATCATCCTCTGCCTGCTCCTGCTCCTGCTCGGCATCCTGGGCGTTCTCCTCATCGACATCCTCCTCAGCATCTTCTTCCTCCTCCACAAGGTCCTCTGCTTCAGCACCCGCAGCGCCATCCTCCTCGAGGTTTTCGCCTTGGTCCTCAACAGGGATATCAGGAGGACCCGGGAGAATATGGGCAGCTACCACGTCCACACCATGCCGGATATGGTCCCATATGTGTGGCAGTGGGAACCATGGTGCAGTGACGCCACCACCCCACAAGAAGGGCATGTAAATGCCATCATCTCCTCGCATTGCGTTGTGCAGCAAAGAGATCGGCCGAGGGACATCACCAACGAATCCATCAGGGTCCAGCAGCAACGCTTGATAGACTAGATCGAGGAATACGTCAAATGTGGATTGGACAATCTGCTGCCTCGATATTCCTCCGCCAAGGAACTGAACCTCCTCATCCTCACCTTCTGGCACCACCAGTCGTATGGCAAAGTTTACTTGTTCAAGGACGGGAAAACCCACCAGCACAATTGGCACAATTGGTATGTTGGCCATTCTCCTGAAAAATTGAAATGCATTCGATTCATCACATTCACATTGTTGAAATAATACATGTTGTTTATCTTCATCCATCCATCCCCTACGGGCTAGCTCCCATCTCTCATTATTGTCTCTGCCCATTGCTCATTAATGTATCACTACCCTAGTCATAACTCAATGTTGTAAACTCTTTTGCATATAAATCTTTGTAATACATGAATACAAATCAAGCTCTCCAACACAGCAAAGCAATCCCTTCTGTAAACTAACAAACATACTTGTCCAGCAATCATTGACAATGCATGGTGAAATCCGATAATGGGCTCAAATTTTAGGGATCGGACAAAATACAAATCGGAAAGGGAATGCAAGACTCAACCCCCAGCTGTTCAACCAACGAATTGAGCAAAGCTAAAGAGACTCTGTTTCTTCCTTTTTACCCAGAAAAACAGAGTGCAAAAGGAATTGAATAAGAAGCAACACTCGTTTCCCAGAAACAGTTTAGGAATGAAATCGAAGAAACAAGAAACGCAAATAACACAGAGTAAGGAATCCAAGCAAGCGATAGGGAGAAGCGGCACCTGCTGTTCCTGAATCTTTGGGGGGCTTCTTTGGGTACTGAAGTCTCGAATCGGAAGCTATTGGCTGGGTGAGTGGTGGCTCATCAGTGAGCTGTTCAAATGCTGAAGTAGAAGAATGGAGGAAATTCTTCGTTGGGGATGGAGGAAATTCTTCGCGGGTTAAGTTTCTTGATTTCTCTCTTTTTTTTTTTTTTTTTGGTCTGATTTGATATCGAATCACAGATGGATAGATTTTATTTTAACTGTTGAGCATTTCTCCTTTTATTTATCTACCGAGATATATATATATGCAGCGCCCGGCCCCCAAGAATTGAGACGAAGGTTCTTTACGGGCTCTGTCCACGCACACATCTCCTATGGGCTGGGTTATTATAATAGTCGTTGCTATTTTTTTTTTTTTTTTCCGTTGAAAGTCGTTGCTAATTGTTAGTGTTGTGGTATATGATCCACGATTGAACCTCTTCCAACAACTCGAGTATTTGGAACCAACTGGTTTATGACATGTTATCAGAGCCTAGAATCGAAAGATCATGTGTTTGAATCTCCACGACCCCCAATATTAACCGTTGTCTTTCAAGCACATGGTATGGTGGGCCTGTGCAAACTTCAAGCCCATTGGTTGGCTTTCATTTGAGGGGGCGTGTTAGAGAGTGGTATAAGATCCACGATTGAATCTCTCCCAACAACTCGAGTTATTAGGACTAACTGGTTCTTGACATGGTATTAGAGCCTTCTATGACCGAGAGGTCTTGTGTTCGATTCCCGGTGACCCCCATTTGTTAAGCACATGATATTCTTGTCTTCAAACCTGTGCAAACTTCAAGCCCTTCTGGACACTAATTACATACCAGCTATTAGATTAATTTAATGGGAGGTAATTAGTTGTATGTTATTGATTTTGTGTTTTGAATTAAATAAGTAGTCAATAAATTAGTTAGGATTTTGCTACGGTGACATGCATGTCACCATGACATGGACTTTTCGGTCGACCTAATTCAACATGTGGTCGACCGGACTGACTATTTCATGTATGTGAGGTTCCGAGACGCGGTCGACCTCGTACATAATATGGTCGACCTCTTTGGTGGACTAACAGAATGAAAGGTCGACCCAAATACCTCATAGGGCGACTATTGTGCACCTAACAGGTCGACCGCATTAGAAAGCGGTCGACCGCATTCACACCGTATCCGTATTGGATAAGGATTCCAACACCAGAAAGGTTCCACAATTGGACAAGGAAACGAATTGGGTTGACCCATTCATGTCCTAAATCTATAAATACGAATATAAGTCCCCTTCAACGCCACCAAGTCTGAATTAGGTTTTTTTCGATTTAGAGCCTTTGTTAAGAAGATCGTTCGCGTTTGCTGTTGTACATGTTGGAAGTGGTCGACCAGGTCGAAGGTGAGGTCGACCAGGTCGAAGGTGAGGTCGACCTAATGTAGCATTCACCGTCATCTTTTGTAATGCGTGATTTCCACCGTCTAATTTGATATATTGTTGCGTGCAGAATTCCATTCGGTCGACCGTGACATCAACCAGGTCAACCTGACAAGACAATTCTTCGTATTTGAATTTAGGGCACAACACTTGGACTTCTGTACTTGCGAGGTAACGAAGATCAACCCAAGTGGTCGACCTAATGTGTTTCAAGGTCGACCGTTTCTGTTTGTTTTGGTTATTCAACCTGAATGTCGACTTTGTCTTTGTTTGTATGACTATGTTGTGCTTGAAAAGGTCGACCGCGCCAAATATCTGGTCGACCTATCCTTTTTTCGTGTTAATTTTGAACTTACTTTTTGTTGTTAATTGTTATTTTTCCTGCTGGATAGGTCGACCTAGGAAGAACAGAGGTCGACCTTAATGGTTGTGGTAGTCACTATTTGTCTTCCAGGTCGACCTAATACTTTGTCAGGTCGACCACGTCTTTGTTTTTTGGTCAATTGTAGAAATTTGTAGTTGAATTATGATTTGAATTTTTCTTTAAATTGTTTAGACGATGACGCATGATGAGAGACTGCATCAAGATTTGGGTGAAATCATGAAATTGTTGAAAGCCACACAAGAGAAGCTGGTGGTGTGTCAAACACAAGTCAATGATTTTCAAAAGTCCATGCGTGATAGAGTGGAGCAATTGTCAGTTCGACTGACAGATATGACTGGGATGATGCATGACGGGTTTGAGAGGCTAGAAGGTGCTATCAAAGATATAAGTGCAGAACGAATGGAGAATGGCGGAAGAGATGGTAAAGGAAAGAAATTTGACTTTGGTAAAGAGGAGGAAGACCATGATGACTCTGAAAATTGCTACCGGAGCCCAGATGAGCACAATGCAGGTGACAGTGAATGAGATGCGAGATGAGTGGCGATCTTTCAGCGGAAGATACATGCATCCCACCACATCCGACCACCATCATGCTAGCACCACCAATGAAGAAAATGTGGATGAGGGAGAGAGGGGAGATGAGTAGGAGCGCGGAGATTTTAGATTGTGTGTTTTTATTGTTAAGTGGTCAAAACGATTGTTGATTGTTATTCTGTTGTTTTTTAGTTTTATTTTTATGTGTGAACAATTATGATTTCTGTTTTATTGTATTTCTTGTTAGTTTGTTTAGTTGTTATGCTATTAATTGATGAGTCCTTGTTATCATTATTTATGACTATTTATGATGGTTTGAAACATAATTTATACGAGCAAAAGAACCACACAAATCGACATACACAAGCAAAAAAGACACGGGGCATAGGTTGACTTTCTTGTATTCGGTCGACCTCGTACCGGATTAGGTCGACCTCGAAACCAACACTTGATCTTCATTTTACGTCAAATGATTGGACACTTTGATAGAACACTTATCTTCTATCTGGTCGACCTCTTTCCTTATCCGGTCGACCATTTTGTTAATGACTGCCATCAAGTGGTCGACCTATATACCTTAGGTGGTCGACCATGTTGTTCGTGACGCCAACGAAATGGCTGATCGAGGTTTTATTCTGGTCGACCAAAAATAACAACTTAAACTAAGTGCGGTCGACCAGGTGGTCGTTGAGGTCGACCGCAATGCTTTCTCGTGCTGCCCAAATTAGTCAATTCGGTCGACCGCCTTCAGGAATAGGTAGACCGAAAAGTCCATGTCACGGTGACATGCATGTCATAGTAGACATACCCAATTAGTTAATAGGGGCTGAAAAATAGAGTAGAGTTTATTTCTGCCAAATCGCCATATCCCTCCACTAAATCGTAGGAAAGAGAGAAGATTTGGGGATATCGTTTTTCTTCTTCTTAACGTTAGAGCTATTATTAATGTTTATGATATAATTTATAACCATTTATCTTTCGAAGTGTCGCATGCAACTATTAACATGTCGTCATCAATCATCATACCAAAGCTAAGATGGTCTAAGTGTAAAGTTTCAGCCACAATTAAGTTTGAGAATTGCAGATCCCAGGTTCGAATCCAAGCGAGACCCGTTGGTGTTCCGGAGGTACAAGGCTGCTAGGAGCGAAGTCCCGTTGGCGTTGAATTTGATTGCAAGTGGCACGTGATACTGAGGTTTCTAGGTAATAAAAAAACATGTCGTCATAATTATTAATGGTTATGAAGATATTTTTAATATTGCTTGACCATTATTGACGATGATGAATTTATTCTCAATGGTGTCATCCTCATACTAAATGGTTAGGAAAACATTCTCAATGGGTAATTACACCCAAATTCAAGTAGACCCATTCATAATGGGTTAGGTATGGGTGAAGTACGTATGGGTTTGGGGGTTTGTAGATGAGTTTGGGTAAGATATGGATATTGTTTCATAATCTAAATGGGCATGGGTTGGATATGGATATCCATTTACTTGAGGGTGTTGTAACTACATATGCAAAATTGGGGAAAAAAATCCCAAAGTACACCAGTTCATAAAAAAAATTCCCAAAATACATAAGTTATAAAAATAATTCCAAAAGTACACATGTTTCACATTCACCGTTTTTGACAAACGCAGTGAATACTATCACTGCGTTAGACAAACACGGTGAACATTTCCCCGTTTGAGACAAACACAGTGATATTGTTCACCGTTTGAGACAAAGGCGGTGAATGCTGGCTGATTTTCCTATAAATACCACTCCCACCAGCAATTGTAAAAACGTAACCCCTCTCCCCGTCAAATTTCAGCAACCAAAATCGAGCAACATACACAGAACAGGAATTTTCGATATGATTTAATTTTCGTATTGTAGCCTAATGATGTTTTTAGTAGTTATATTGTTATGTTATGAATTACTTATAGTAGCAAATATGTTCTGTTAGTTGGAAAATTTATGCTGTTGTTAGTTAGTTGAATTTATGTTATGTTAGTTATGAGATGGAGTAATATTAGCCGTACAATATGGTTTTGGTTATTTTTACTGGAATTAAGCTAATAGTTACTTATTTTAAATTGTAGATATGGGTAAATTCAAGAAGTTTTAGCTTATTATTCGGTGGAATGGAAGTGTGACAAACTCTGACATAGGGATTGATTATGAGGACGGTGAATCCACTATGCTGAAAATTGAGTCGCGATTCAATTTTCAAAAACTATGTGATATTTGTGCAGACAGGGTTTCTAAGAGCGGACAGACGAGACTTGGTAAAATTAGTTATTGGTATCCAGACATGAGTGTGAGCGGGGTTGTATACCAAGAAGTTGTCATAAATGATGATGACGCGGTTACGATGATGTTATAGTTCCTAAGCGATAACGGGATGCGGCTTACAGAGGTGTATTTTGAGATCGAGGCGGTCGGTGAAACTCATTCTCACCAGTATTCTTATGATGATGATTTTGTAGGAGGGTACGGATGGGGTGGTAGTTCGAGTAACTACGAAGGAGGTGGTTATACAGGAGGTTACAGAGAGGGTGGTAGTTCAAGCAACTACGGTGGAGGTAGTAGTGCAGGATGGGTGCCATCGGAAGAATACTCACAACGGAATCAAACTACCGATGGCGTTCAATGGCCTGCTTGGGGGCCAGAGTGTTCTGAAATCGAGAATACAATTCGATCAGGGCGTACTTCACATGAGCGAGAATACGATGTTGGTGATGGTGGTCATGTTGATCGTTCTGGCCCGAGATATTCATTCGACTAGAGCGACGATGATATTAAGGAAGATTTGAGATGAGTGAACGAGGAGGAAGATACTGATGATACCGACGACGAGGCGGCATTTTGTGAGGCACCGACGCCATACTACAAACAGGTTCCAAC